ACGTAATATGTACGAAATTAAACTTTCCCACCCTTCAGAAGACGTGCACAAACAATAACGTACCTTTGAAATTGAGATTGAAAGCCTGGAATAAAAATGAGAGCTTTGAAACGATCGTGTATATTTTTCACAAAAATATTCACGCAGAGCAGCAATTTATGTCATAGCAGTAGTTCACGGATCTTGCGAGAGATGGCGCGATGGCGCACGCAGCTGTGGGCAGTTTCGGGGTTGGCTACATTGTCTGGTTCCTACACAGCAATCGAACCAGCCCTATTCTGTAACTTGTAACGACAGTGTCGGTATCGTTACGTTGTCGTTGCGCAGGTATACTATATGGAAAAAAAGCTGCGCAACGACGACATAACGATACCGACACTGTCGTTAGAGTTACAGAATAGGGGTCCAGGACAGATATATGATACAGATATCTCGTTAGGCATTTTTACATTTTTTTCAATTATTACTAATTATTTTACAATCCCACCCTTCATTAGTACCTAAACTTTACTCCTGTAAAAGGATTTTGCGATCTATGAAGCCGTTTCAAAGAACGAGCTTTGAAAGATATATGTGGTACAGATATCGTGTTAGACATTTTTACATTTTTTTCAATTATTACTAATTATTTTACAATCCCACCCTTCATTAGTACCTAAACTTTACTCCTGTAAAAGGATTTTGCGATCTATGAAGCCGTTTCAAAGAACGAGCTTTGACAGATGGGGGCCCGATTCTCTATCTACAAACGTATGCGTAAACTCTGCTCTAACAGAAAAGCTGCAAGCTTATTGGCTAAAAACTGTGCGATAGCCAATCAGCAGCCTTTCTGTTAGAGCAGTGTTTGCGCATACGTTTCTCGTTAGAGAAGCGGGCCCATGTGGTACAGATATCTCTCGTTAGAAATTTTTACATTTTTTTCAATTATTACTAATTATTTTACAATCCCACCCTTTATTAGTACCTAAACTTTACTCCTGTAAAAGGATTTTGCGATCTATGAAGCCGTTTCAAAGAACGAACTTTGACAGATATATGTCGTACAGATGCCTCTAGCCAAGGACATGTATCTTTCGTATTATTCCTTTCTCTCCTATGTATGTAATTTGCATGCACCCATTTATTCCTCTCTCTCTTTCTCTCCCCCTCTCTCATCCCTGTCCCTCTCTCTCTCTTTCTCTTACAAGTATACACTGGGTAGCTACTCTTAGTATGGTAAAATCAGGATTTTCTGAAAGAGTGGTGTTAGGATTCTAGGGTATATTTGAAGAAAGAAAAACGGTAATGTAATTTAGGACAAGAAACTCTATTTATTATAGTTTATATAATGAGTCTATATGAGTTATATATAAGGCCATTTTGACGCCGACGGCGGCGCGTATGGGGGCGCGTATGAGGGCGCGTATCAAATAATATTATGAGCACGAAAAAATATACACGAAGAATTTATTTTGAGAATCAGAAATATTAAAAAAACGCGACAGTTTTTTTCCCTCCGAATGAAATTCCAACGTGCGCTTCTAAGGTCAACGCGCATCCTTTGCTAAACGTATGAATTCATATACACGTTTTGCTGCCAGATTTTTATTGACGTGATACAGACACCCGTGTACATCTGAGCCTCAATGAAGCGCGAGTTTAATCGTAAATCAATTATGCGAAAGATCTTAGATCTTATATTCGTCAATAAAGTTATAAAATCCGCAAACAATGCAAAAATTTGCGCATAGTCTTTCGTGATCGAATATAAATGCATCGCGTCGCTTCGCTAATGATCGGATAAACACTTTCTCGAAAACGCAACAAAATATTTGCTCCACGAAATAAGCTCGCACAAATCGCATGTGACAAAACTGAAATTTAGCAATTATATGTAAAATCAAAAGCTATAAATTAGTTTTTTGTTTTGAACAAGAGAAGTTGAGACACGTAGCGATAAAATTGAATGAATTCCCAACACGATAAAGATAAGTTTAATAATTTTCTTCTACGGCTTTCGTTTCCTTTTTAAGAAATAGAGATGTTAAAAAAAATCAATATAAAGTAATATGTAACAAAAGTTTCTCTTGGTGTAAATTTTCAAAAGGAGGAAAGCAAGTTCGAAAGAATAATATGATGAATCAACATTCTCTGAATACATATTAGAAACCATTTAATTTTTTCCCTACGCGTTGTGGGAAATATGACGGCTCCGTATAATTGTTAATTACCGCGAGACATATGCTAACGAACCGTCGTAAGCAAATTCCTCGAAACGTTCGCTACAAGAGAAAACGAAAACAATTTTGGGACAAGAACGGAAGCGTTCGTTTGATCGTCATCGTCGTCATCGTCTTCGTTTCCGAAAAGATGTACGTACTCCACTAAGTAAGATAAATCATAATTATTCTTGATATCAGCATTCGCGGCATCCTATAAGTCCCGCTGGATAAAAACTAGATACTTGTAGCATCCGAGTTTGATTTAGTCGGGCAACGTGAATAACACAGTTTCACGTTTGCTCGTCTCTGTGAAAAAAAAACGCGACGATTACCTTTTTCCTTTCTTTTCAAGTCCTATATGTATACTTGTAAACTTATAAATGTATAAAAACGATTAGACAGTAACAGAATACAATTTCTTTATGATTCTCGAAATAATCTTTTTGGATTTCTAAGCACAAGGAAAGACATCTCTTTTGCTTATGTATTATTCGACAAATCATGCAATGATACCCTTCATGGAGTGCAGTAACGGCTGTCGCATACTGGCAATGGAAACGAAGACGAGGGCGAAAACGGATAAAAGATTGAAGCGCACTCGGAAGGGAAATGAAAGCACCGCGAGCTTCCTCTTCTCGACGGTCCTTCGACTGTATTCGCGAGGCAACGATACTTTACGCAAATATCCAGTATTCTGTATACAATCATAATTAGCTAATCATCCGTCGACGAAACATATATCGCTCGCGAACAGCCACTTCGGCGTAAACTGCACGTTATGCGCGTTTTCGCGTATCTCAATCACTATGACAAGCAAATATATATGAAAAAAAACATTCTTTTTGAAACAGAAATTGAAATAAAAAAAGACATCTTTTGCGAGGTTGCTATTATATGCTTGAAAAATACATATGATATAAAGGCACAAAATAAAAAAAGTATGCAAAATTATTCTTATTGTTAGTACAAAGTAATCGGAGCATGATCCTGGAGACGTCCCATGTCCGTGATATCGTCATCGTGGACGGGGCCTGGAGCCCACAGAAAAAATAATAAAAATAATTTGTATGTGCGTATGCATATGTATGTGCGATTGCGTATGCGTGTGCGTGTGTATGTATATCTATGTTGAATTGCATTACTGGTTTTATGTAATATTATTTACTTTCGACAGTAACAATAAAAAAAAAAATATATCATAATATATTTCATTTATATATGTATTTTCGTTTATATTTCCCAACATTTTATCAACGAAATATAATAAATAGAGTTTCTTGTCCTAAATAACATTACCGTTTTTCTTTCTTCAAATTTACCCTAGAATCCTAACACCACACTTCCAAAAAATCCTGATTTTACCATACTAAGAGAGCTTTCCAGCAAGCGACACAAATCGACACAAGTATCGTTTTATCTTTGTTACTCATTGCCAAAAAAGAAAGATAGAACGATGCTTGTGTCGACTTGTGTCATTTGCTGGAAAGCTCCCTAAGTGTACGCTACCCAGTGTACTAAGAGAGAGAGGGACAGGGATGGAGAGAGAGAGAGAGAGAGAGAGAGAGAGAGAGAAAAAGAGGAATAAATGGGTGCATGCAAATTACATACATATAGGAGAGAAAGGAATAATACGAGAGATATCTGTCCTTGTCTAACGAGGCATCTGTACGACATATATCTGTCAAAGTTCGTTCTTTGAAACGGCTTTATAGATCGCAAAATTTTTTTACAGGAGTAAAGTATAGGTACTAATGAAGAGTTGTTCTTTCCATGTGCTCCCTAAGTTACATAACAGTTACAAACTGGTTTACTGGGATTATGTTATAATAATTAAGATTTTTATTCAGTTTTGTTATTTATACTGTTCATCAGCTGTCGTTACCCTCTACTCTGATGCTAAGACTGAGGTATATTTTTCTATATAAAGACAGAATAAAATTAGTTATATATAAAATCAATACTATATATTTAATATTTATTGCATTTGTTATAAAAGTTATTATTTTACCCCATCAAGAATGGATAGATCCTTTGAAAGAGTTTTACATCATTCATTTACATTACAAGAAAAAAATTATTAGAGGTGCAAGAGATGCAGTAAATTGTCAAGTCTAATAAGTACCCGCGTCAATATACTATGTATATACTAATTCACATTCTCAATTATGCTACTGTTATTATTTGTCATCAGACAATTATAAACATACACATAATGATTAGATACATATTATATATATATACGCACATGTGTGCATAAGAATATATATAATTTATAAAAAGCGGGTGCTTATCAGCCTTGATACGTTACTGCCTTCTGCTACAGACGGCCAGAAAGCATTTTCAGGTTCAGGCCGTATTGCTAAAGAATCCAAGACGCGGCAACGCCGCGCGGCGTTGCCGCGTCTATAGCATATGTCTCTCTACCGTGCGTCCGTGTGAGCAATTCAGTGGTGTGTGTACGTGTACGGACCGGACATACACCACTTCATAGAATCTGAAATAAGTTGGTAACACTGAAACCGGAGTTTCGCGTTGTCACCACGCGAGGTCTCCAATATCAGTTCGGCCTTTGCTTTAGTTGACAGAGTTGACATTACCGTCGAGGAAGTTCGGCCTTAGCTTTAGCATCCCCTTAAGGGACTATGTAAAGGGTTGGGTACGTCCCTATAAAACGCCATGTGGAAAGTGTTGTATATGTTATATGAATAATATGTAAGGGTTTGGGAACGTTTGCCCAATAAAACGCCTTTTCAACACCGGAAGGGGAGAAAATAAAAGATTGAATTGAATTGAATGTATGTACAAAAGATTTCTCCACCAATATTTCGCACAAGTTTCGTGCGACCTTTCGTACATGTAAAATATCGATGTTTTATCAAACCAAGCCGAGCTTAATTGCGCTATTCCTAACACCGTCATGTAAGCCGGTGTCAGCCTTAAAAAGAAAAATTTTATTACAGACGCGCAATAATTTTATTATGTTGTTTGTATTGTTTTTTGTGTTCTTCAAACATATCACCATATAATAAAAACTTACCGAATAAATCTTTTTATTACATGAACAAAGAATTCAATTAATTTTTCTCCGCGACCAATCGGCTTTGGTACTTTGTTCGCTTTATCTCGTAAATACATATATGTCACTAAACATCCGCTTGAGAGAAAAAAAATATCAACTGCTATGAATCCAATGTCACCTATGTATTGATAACTCTCAAGGAACCTCCACAGCCATACTTTATTGTCTGTCAATACAAAGCAATTTTCGTTATGCGTTAAGAGTAAAAAAACAAAAGAGCCAAAAATGTCTATTCTACAGATTTAGTATAAATTACTTACCGAGAGAATTAAATGTATAATATACACTATGGAACATGATTATTGAACACATGCTTAGAACTTTTAAGCTGTGAATAACGGGTATTGTGCTGGCGTCCAACTTTGTGCTAAATATTTTTTCTGTATTTGTGTAAGCGGAAAAACATATTAATATTTCTCCAATTTTATTTTTCCCAAATGCTGCAGGCACGTTTACCACGTTTCGTTTTTGATATATAAATATATCATATAATGTACCGATTGATGTCATGAGAAAAGAAAACCCTAAGCCAGCACTGCAAATAGAATATTTCTTGGTATTATTGTTATGCTTATATTGTCAAATAATTGCAATTTATACATTTTTGGAGACGTACCAGATGAAACGTAACACATTATTGGGTAGCCTTTTGTTATCGTCATTTAGTTTTTTAACCTCGATAAGCTGAAAGTCCGCGGAGTAGAGATCATCGAAGATAACTCTGTCACGAAATATTCTTTCCAAAATAAAGCTGAGATTGTTTATAGTGCATGATGCTGGTAAACAGAGTCCGAGCGTAATTACATTCTAAAATAAAAGTTTCTGTATACATGTATTTAAATATCAAACACATTCTTTATCACATAAAGATTTTACAAACTTACCTCGTCAAACATATTTACGTGATATTGTATCGTACTGTTGTGTCTCAAATAAGCTACAAAATAATTTATTTGGAAAGGTGGAAATTCCTTTCGCGGATCGCGATAATGCGTGTTATTTAGTATTTTGTGCTTTGAGATCTGTAGAGGAGCCGTATTCATCGTATCGAGACACTGACTACGACTGCCCAGCCAATAATTATTTCCGTAAAGGAAACCCGGTTTGGGGCGACCACTGGAATCTAATACTAAAAATAAAAATTACAATGTTACTACTTATGCAAAAACAATAAATAACTAATTTTTACTTATAATTAATTAATCACGCATTGTTGCTTCCTCATTACAGGAAGCTGTTTTCGTAAACAAATTTTTTTTTAGTTTTCTGTGCCAATGTGTTCAGAATGTTCTAAAACTAAAATTACATTTTTACAAAATGTGTGTGTGTGTGTGTGTGTGTGTGTTTAGATATCAGACTCAATTTTTTTTTAAATGCAGAGTATTATTAAAGAAAAGTTGGTATTTAATTAGGCGAAGATCGGTGAAGGGGTTCATTTTTTGTAAAATTTTGAATTTTTTTAGAAATGTCTAGTAGCTATAACTTTCACAAATTTTGAGATTTTTTATCTTCTTTTTATAAATACTATTATTAATTTAAAATATAATTTTACGTACCTTTTAAGCTCCACAATGTTCGTCGACTAATAGCATCTTGGAAAGTTTTCAACTCCTTTCCGCATGTTGTAGATTTGACAACATCTGCCTTGGAAGCAATGGCATAAGCAGGATGCAATATACGACATTCTTGAGTACAACCAGCAAATAATACAGCTGAATTTGTGAAGAGTATAAACACAAGTTGTCGTAACATTAATTGTGTTTTACAATAGTGTGTAGCTGTCACTTTTATTTCTTATTCCTCGTTACCGTGGTCAATATCTGCAACAATGGTAAATATGCATAAAAGATCAGTACTCGCCAATTTTATCGCCACTTAAATATGTTGTAGAGGAGGTTTTTCTGAGTAATTCTACGCACAAAAAGTGGGGGACGACATTGGTTTACAAAATGTAGCAAATTAAAGTTTCACAATTTTTATGTTAAAAAAAGTAATTTTTTTATATATGTGTGTATATAGACATGTAGGCTACCGCCCCTCCCCCGCAGACAGAGGTGAGTGAGAGTGAACCTCGGTTCGCGTGGAAAGTTAAAAACCCGAACTGTATAATGATAAACCTCGTTTCGTCCTATAAGCAAGGATGGGGTGGGGTGAGATGAACCTCACTTCGTGTGTAAAGTTATAAACCTATGTGGAACCGCACAATAATGAAAAACAACAATTTATGCTTTTGCCATTGTTAAAGCAGAGAGTACTTTGTGTTTATATTTTTTAAAATATAAAACTGTATGTATACTTTTCAATATACTATTCTCTGCTTTAACAAATTAATTTCTGTTACAGATATTAAGCATTTTTACATGATGCGACTTTTTACACAAAGCGACGAAAGAAGAAAAAACGGGTTTTTAATTTTCCACACGAAGCAAGGTTCACCCTCCATCCACCCCTGCTTGCAAAAGGGCTACCGCCCTCCTCCCGCCTACGCGTGTACCAGAGTTGCGAGGAATTAATTACTTTTTGCTTCCTCATAGAGGAACCTTTGTGATAGTAAAAAAAAATTTTTCGAGATTTTGATAGAAATAGGTTTAGAATGTTCCAAAATGTCGAGAAATCATATTAGCAGAAAATGTATTAGCGGAAGTATGTATATGTATGTATGTGTGTGTGTGTGGGGGGGGGAAGTATTAGAAAAATTTTAAGACCGGTCCGAAGTTGCGCAGAAAATTTGGGAATTTTTAATAGATTTTTTTGTAAGGCTGTACACAGAGGTACAGAGGCTTCACACGGACTTGCGCGCGGCCTCGAGCGGCCTCGAGCTTCAACACAGTATAACCAGTAAGTCAACTTGACTAATTATTCTGCTTTGCGCCGATCCGTACTGCGCATCGATACGTATTATAATATTTTTCTCTTTTGAATTAACGCGACAATAATATTTTTTAACACTTTTAAACAAGTAAAAAATTCAGATTTTTTAAAAGAACATTGCATGTAAAATATTATGGTTCTACAAATGCAAAAATAACTAATTCTTTTTCTTAACACATATCTTGAAGTTGACATAACGTTACGGACAGCACAGTAGCAATTGTAGAATGATAGATAAAAGTTTTCTATATATATAAAATATATAAAATAGAATGTATGTATGTATGTATGTATGTATGTATGTTCTTTATACACTCTTAAACTATTCGTCCGAATTTTTACCAAAAATATATAAAATAGGGGTAGAATTTTCCGGGGAGTGTTATAAAGTGTATAGTTTTTCGTTACCGATCTTTTTGAGAACCGGTATCCGAAATTTTTTCAATTTTTCGGGAAATAATTGACCGAATCTTAAAAAATTGTATACAAAATAAGGGTAGAATTTCCCAGGGATTGCCATAAACTGTATAGTTTTTCGTTACCGATCTTTTTGGGAATTGGTATCCGAACTGATAAAAAAATTTTTTTTGATTAAGGATATTAAAACAAATGAAGTCGTTTGAAGAAAAACGACTCCCGGGCGAAGCCCGGGTAACCAGCTAGTATAATATAAAGACAAATGTCCTGACTGACTCACTCACTCATCAACGCCCAGCCCAAACCCCTGAATCGAATTTTTACCAAAAGTATATGAATTAAGGGTAGAATTTTTCGGGGAGTGTTATAAAGAGTATAATTTTTCGTTACCGATCTTTTTGGAAGCCGGTACCGAAATTTTTTCAATTTTTCGAGAATAAATTGACTGAATCTTAAAGAATTGTATATGAAGTAGGGGTAGAATTTTACGGCGAGCGCCATAATGTGTACAATTTTTGTTATTGATCTTTTTGGAAACCGGTTTTTTTAATTTTTCCAATTTTTCGGGAAATAATTGATTAAATCTCATAGAATTATACATGAAGTAGGGGTAGAATTTCCCGGGGAGTGCTATAAAGTGTACTATTTTTTTATTACCAATCTTTTTGAAAATTGGTTCCGAATGACCGAATCTCAATTAATCTCAAAGAATTGTACATAAAGTAGGGGTTGAATTTCTCGGGGAGTGCTATCAAGCTATCAAGTAAATTATGTGAGTATTAAATCATTGATATACCGATGTATCTCTCTCTATTAACTCCAGTTTCTGTCTCGTATTTTTTCTGTTGTTAACACGTTTCCAAACAGTTTCTCTTTTTAATTGTAGTGTTACGATACTAAACAAATGCAAAATAACTGAGTACCAAATTAGCTGGCAGTAAATTTTTTTATAGGCTATGTTATAACCAAATTGATTACGTTGTATGTATTAATTGATAATGTTAAATTGTAAATACTTGTACATGTTCCAAAAAATTTCTTATAAAAGACAATTTTTAGATGTCTATGGAAAAATTCGGAAGACGGTTCGAGGACGTCTTTTGATAATTTACAATAAATTTACGCGAAATTAGTCTCAACCAACGGTTCTCACCGTCTTATTCGCGACCCGTTAAGTCCGCCAAAACCAGACGACTCGCGGATACTTGCGTGGGCGCGCCGCTTCTTCAGGTTGACGTGTATGTAGCGACGTCTGCGTGCGTATGTGTGTGTTTGCGCGAGTATGTGTATGAGTGTCGCGGTGAAGTCGGGTCAGCTAGGTAGAATTCTCAAGTGTGTGTGTCAGACTGGGATCGCCGTTTGTAGCCCGGGGCTCCGAAACGCTGAAATGCGCGACGGCCCCGTTCCCTCCTTTCACCGGGTATAGATATACTTCCCATGTATCTCTGCTCATGTACGGTAAAAATGAATGAAATTTTTATGGTACACTTCTATGACATCGAGAATTGCAATTACGGATTTTTAAGATTTTTTGTTTATATTTTTTTTCAATTTTTTAATGATTTATTTAAACAATATCAAGTACAAAAATGGGACAAAATTGCGATTTTTATGTTTTTTCTGTCCCAATGCAACACCATGTTGTTTATGAATAATTTCTGAGATTAGCTCTACACTGTTTGATCAAGAAAACAAAATTATACTACATATAGCTATAGCGACATACATCTTTAATTTAGAACCGAAATGTCATGAATGAATATACTTCATCGCCTTGCGCGCACTGGAATAAATTAATTCGGGAGTAAATTAAAGTCGCATTGAATTGCGACGTATCGGGTCAGTCAGCACAATCTTTGATGCAAGTTTTGTTCTCTGTTTTCCTCACATTCCTGTCTGCTAAGCTAACTATGCTATGACTTCGAATCGGCCATAAAATTTTGACTAACCGACAGTCAATCTCTTTCTCCTTGTATTACATAAAATGCGTAAAACTCTACGTTCTTTTCATATAAAAATTTTCTAGTTTTTCAGATTTCTAATTTGATTTTGCGTATAGTACCCAACTTTGTTTCTCGAGGAGAACCGCGACGAGTTTTTCGAACTTATTACACACAATTACAATTACACACTATTACACAATTACACACTATTGAATTCCGCTAGTTCACTAAGTCAGTTGTTCAAGCACACTTTCAAATTCAGAAGATAGAGAGAGAAAGAGAGAGAGAGAGAGACTATTTGCGTGTCTTACACATGTCCTCCGGGGCGAAGCCCGGGTAACCAGCTAGTTTTTCTATAAAAAAAATATAAATACAAAAAACATTAAATTATTTAATTAGGTAAGTGTTTTGTTATTATATAAATATTGCATAGTGCTTTATTTTAAAAATTGACAGAAAGTTAAATTTTTAAATTTTTTAAAATTATTTAAATTATATGAAATATTATATCTTGAATGTGTAGTACATTATATTTAATAGTTTTCTGATTAAGACTTTTGTTCATCAATTTACTATCTGAGATTGAGATGTTAAAAGAAGAAAAGCATAATATAAAAATTTTTGTAAAATACATAAAAATAGAAAACTTTTTCAATAAAATAATATTTATAATTGATAGATTAGACTTATAAAATATACTAAAATTTTTTTTGTAAATTATTAAATAACTATATGTCTGAAATTGAATTATACCGAAAAAGAAACAAGCTATATTGACAGTTGTTGAATTCGTAATACCTTAAAGTAAAGATCAATAATAGGATGGCTATGAGAGTCAGACGCAGTTATCGGTGCGTAGATAATCAAAATCACTGATTTATTCCAAATAAATTACATTCGAACGTTTCGGCTCAACACTTCGAGCCATCTTCAGCGATATCAAATGACGAAAATTAAAATGTTGCAAAGTTCTCCATTCCAACGTGGTAAATTTCCTTGTTTGGAGATTTCAAGAAACAAAATTGAAAAAGACTACAAGATTCATATCTGTAAAAATAGTTACCTTGTTACACCATTAAAACAAGCCGAGCGAGGCGAGTATATAAATGCGGAATGAACATCACAAAGAAAAATAATCTGTACTCAAGGATACTGAGATCCCGACGGCACGACGCACGAAACGGTATTAACAGGAAAAATGTCTTAAGTCAAAATTATAAACGTGTAGGTCAAGAAGGTAAGAAATAAAACTAATAAATATTTCGTGTATAAACAATGAAAATTATAAACATGTAGGTCAAGCAAGTAAGAAATGAAACTAAATATTCTATGTATAAACAATGACAGGTGATACGACGCAAAATGTTTATGGACATGGTTTACAATTTATTTAGAATAGACACGTATGCATGGTGCATAAACTCTGTATCCGTTTGCAAGTTTAAACTATTCTTTTGTAGCTTATAATATATGACATCTCTGAAACAAGTCATTTTCCTAAAAATTGTTCCCTATCTAGGATTTCAACATTCTCTCAATCAAATTCGTGGTCGAAATTAATTCTATATTTGGTAATGACGGACTGGGTTGTTGTATTTCTCCGAATATGATTACGATGTTCTGAAATTCTCGTTTTTAATTGTCTCATCGTCTGACCAACATATGACGCATCGCAATTTTTAAATGAAATTTAATACACCACATTTTTATTTGATTGGATAGGGAGAATATCCTTCTGCACTTTAATAAACTTCTTAAGTTTATTCAGACTATAGAACGATAGGTTGACATTAACATCTGTAACAACTCTTTTAAATTTTTCGGATATATTAGAGACATATGGTACTGTAAACCATGTACGTTGCCTCTCATCATTCGTGGATGGAGGTTCGTTCTGTCTACGAGTGCATTTGTTTAACAGAGATTTAAGGTGGTTCATGCATTTAAGTCAAATGTAGTTAGCCCGGAAAATGTGATATGAAATGAAAGATTAATTCCTAGAGTGTGTCTGTAAAATTTCGGATTTTTTAACCGATTGGTTCCGGAGCGGAGATATATGTCCATAAACTTTGCCAATTTAACGCGGGGGGTAGCCCTTCTGGCGAAAAACGAGGCTAAAGCGCTTATGCTGCAAAAATTACAGTACTTCAAAAATAGATGAACGAACCAAAAATTGACGAAACGATGCAATAAACATTTTGCAAGATACTGGACGAAGCCCGAGTTTATTGACCAAACCATATAATAATAAAACGTAATTTTCGATTGACTAAATCGACAACTGACTAAATCGGAACCGACAGCTGGACTCGAGTGTCATTAGCACGGTTTTATTAACGGCAGCTGGGCAACGTCGCATGTGTCAGCTGATGAATATAGCGCATATCTCAAACATTCAACGTTTACCATGTTCTGGACGTTGAATAAAGCAAAGGGTGAAACAAAAATATTTGTTCATTTCTGAAAAGTATTAATATTAGGTTTGATCAAGATCTGCAATACAGAAGAAATACAAGTTTCAATGCAATAAGGTTATAAAATGTCCAAACAATTTTAACATGCATCGTTTATTCTATTTATCATAACGTTGCCGCGCTGCTGTTGTACATATATTCACACGGCTCACAACTCTAGTAAAAAATGTGACTTTTGTCTCAATATTTTAATTACGTAGAGGTCGTATAACATTAAAGATCTCATAAAAAATAAATCTAATTATATGCTGATTTTTACGGACAAAAATCACATTTATTTATCACTAATAAAAATAGTTGCCTATTTAACTTGCAAGTACTGCATGAACCACCTTAATTCTATTGTTAATAGTGTTAAAAATGAATGTCAACGGGTAGTCGTTCTCTAAGAGAGTGTCAATTAAGAATTTAAGATTTTTTAAATGATATTTGTAAAAGTAAAAATGCCCTATCGACCCTCTTTTTTGGGAAATAGGGTGCTGCGATAAGAAATTAAGATAGCGGCCCAAGAACGTCGGTTTGTGAAACCAATCGAATTCAAGCTCATTATTGTTTTTGATCATCGTTACATCTAAAAAGTTCAATCTGTCACCTCCTATTTCACAAGTAAACTGTAACCTAGGGTGGTACGAATTGAATACCTGTAGTATTGTGTCAATCAAATTAGGCGGTACAGCCATAGCGATGTCATCTACGTATCTAAAGTAAAACGGTAGAGAAAATGTAAGTAATCGCAACACCCTACTCTCCAAATCCTGCATCACCATATCGGCAGCGATGGGAGACAACGGGGAGTCCATGGGGGAACCAAATTTTTGTTTGTATATTATGTTCTAAAAAGTAAAATACGTTGAATCTAAAATTAATTCTATCTCCCGCATGAACTCATCCTTACGAATATTGCACTTATTGAAAATGTATGACCATCTATTTGAGATACTTTCTAGTACTAAATTTGTAGGAATGTTAGTGAATAGCGATACTGCATCTAATGAAATGAGAACATAATCATTATTAATGTGTGTCCCGTTAAGTTTTGTAACGAGTTCGAAATTAGTGATTTTGATCATTTACGCACCGATAACTGCGTCTGACTCTTATAGCCATCCTATTATTGATTTTTAATTTCGAGAGTCCTAACTTATTATATTTCTTAATGTAAAGATTATTTAATTTTTTATCGAAATAAGAATTTACCAAAAAAAGTATATTTTACAAGTTTATCCTAATATTCAGCAACCTGAAAAACTTTTAAGTTTGAATCACATAATTAAAAAATATTTTATAGATTTTTAATCATTTGTGTAAGTTACAATTTTGATGCAATGGACTTTATGTTAATCATAAATATTTTTTTTATCATAATTGACATAATTTTCTTTTAAGAATAAAAAGTCCTAACAATATACTTAACCTTGATGCAATAAAATTTCTTCAATACATTGCATTTTGTAGTTATACATATAATATGCCAAAATACACTAAAATAGCTTTTTCTTATTTTAATTGCAAATTTCTCAAAAGTGTGATAGAGCAATTTGACAAACAGGATCGTATATAGCATCCAAAAAGTTACAAGAAAAGATTATTTTTGTTCTTGTGCTAAAAAAAATAATTTTTTGTTAAACGGTAAATTTATGATAATATTTTATATTATTTTGTCATGTTTATAATTTTAACATAAAATATAAATATCTCATATATATATATTATCCATTTTTTGATAACCGTACATGAAAAAAAAATGAATTAATTGGTGCGAAAAAAACACATTTTCAATAAAAATATATAATTGCATGTTGTAAATTGCATAATTATTTGAAAAAATATATATCAAAAGAACCACCAACGATTGTTCTCTCAGGTTTTGTCAAGCTTGAAATATTCCAAGTAGCACAGCAAATCACAATAAAGTCAAAATGATGTCAAAATTACTGCAAAATGACGATTTTTGATCATTTTACCATCATTTTACCATCATTTTGACGCCATTTTGATTTTATTGTGACTTGCTGTGCTACTTGGGATATGTTATAGTGGTATACTCTCAATAATTCATAGTAAAACCGTACAACTATCAAGCATTCACGAGAAAACTAAAAGTTTTCTCATATATGTCATTGTTGCGTCGTGCCGCATCGTGAGATCGTTCTCAGGGCCGGCACCGGGTTCGTAGGATCCGCCGGGTGGTAGAAAGAACAACACTCGCGAGATTCGTATGTAGCAGTGGTTTTTAATAAAGTAGATATTTGATGTAATACACGAAATGGCTTTAGTTTCACTACTCTGACTTGCGGGTGTATCAATGTGTATAATACGTAATAATAATGGACTAACGCGGTACGTGCTCGGAATCTGGACTGCCCGCCGCTTATCGGAAGGGCGGGCCTTTTATCGCGCGGAGTCCCTTCCTCGTTGTCGACTCAGCTGTTAGCGCTTTTACTTTCGAGCTCAGTATTTGGCAATAGCCGGAACTCGTGCGCTGGCAGTTTGGTGTCGCAACGAGACCAACTCGGCTTCCGCATTACAACATCATATATCATATACAAGTTTTTGAACTCTTTCAAAATTAGCGGAGAAGCTGAGAGCGTGAGATTTATACTTGACTACTACGCCGAGAACGCTGTATAGTTATACAGGTTTGAATCTAGATTTTTGTAATTTTTTTAAATAATTTATTATTCACAATATGCTACATAATATTCTGCGTGTACAGATTATTATGTAATATATTATGTAATACATAAATAAATAAATGAGCATTTTATATCCGTGTTTGTATTAAACGTTATTTTCTATTAAACGTTTCTGAACATAAAAACTGAAGGAATAAAAAGGAACCAAAAAGAATAAGAAAAAATTAATAATATAAATACTTATTAGTTTTCATATATTTGTCACAATATATTTTGATACTTAATTTGACTACGCGTCGTAATTAATTGATAAAAAACTTGCATTTGTAAGTGTCAATAAAGTATATTTTTCAGTTTTAATATAAAAAATGTGATTTTTTGACGTTTTAAAACATTTTAAACACATTGACAAAAAAAAACTAAAAAAAATTTTTTTATGAAAACGAAGTTTTCTCTATAAGAAAACATAAAACACGGATATAAATGATGATTTATTTATTCACAATATATTACATAATAATCTGTGCATGCAGGATATTATATAGCCTATTGTAAATAATAGATTACTAAAAAAAAGTTGCAAAAATCAAGATTCAAACTCGCAGCATACAGCGTTCTCGGCGTATTATAACTATCAAGTGTCTTAAGCTCTTTGCACAATAAGCGATAACGATAGCGATAGCGACAGTGACAAAGTTGCCGACAAAGATATAGCTTTGTCGGCAACTTTGTCGCTGTCGCTATCGCTGTCGTTATCGCCTATTGTGCAAGGGGCTTTACTCATTCAGCATTCTACTAACTTTGAAAGAGCTTAAAAACGCACTACAGGTATAAGATATATGAAAAACGTTAAACTTTATTTTCTTGTAAATGCTTGAGAATTGCATTGAACAGTTTCACCAGTAAATTACTAGGAAAAAAAAAAATATA